TCTAAAAAGGAGGCTAAAAGGGATAATGGGGTCAGCCAAAATTCAATTCCCAGAAAAATACTGGAGCTATTTACAAGCAGCTACAATTTAAAAAGTGAGATAAATAATCGCTGACAATGATTTGTTAAAAACAAATAGGACCAAAGCAACTAAATTTTGGTGGGGAGTAAGCCATGTGAATAGGGAAAACCTCCCCAAAAGGGCCAGTTAAGGAAACAAAAACATAACCATGAACAAAAAAACCAAACAAACAAAAAACCAAACAAGCAAAGCAAAACATAACACAACAGATAAATAAAAACCACCAAATAAAAAAAAGACAACAGAAAATACCTCGCCAAAGAGTGGAGACACAACTGTCCAGAAAACTACTCAGGAAGTATTCACTGGCTCTTCAGAGGGTCTTAAGGTGCTTTTCATCATTTTTATTTGTGAGGTGAAAAACTGTGCATGCATTAATATTATAGATGCATACCTGGAAGGCTGGAAGGAAGGAGAAGAACTGTAAAGGATCTCAACAAACTCAAGAAATAAGATGGAATCAAATAACAAGATTTTGCAACTGCAAAATGATTAAGGTAATAGTGCTTAGCTGCACAAAGAAAAGATAAAATTAACTGGGGAGGAAAGAATTCTGCAGAAAAGGATATGGGGTTTTTTGTAGATCACAAGTTGAGCAGGAGTCGACAAGGACCCACTGTTATGAAAAAGATAAATATTACAGTGGGACGGATAAAGGGAATTATTGTCTGGAGAACATATATTCCACTCTACTCAGCATTAATAAACCTCAGCTGGCAGTCTATATTCACTTTTAGGAAATGCATTTCAAGAAAGGTATAGACCAATGGAGAAGAGTTGGGTTTGAAGATCTTAAAACTGGGGACGTTTCACCTAGAGAAAAATCACCTGAGGAACAAAATTAACCGTCATGAAGTATTTTATAGAATACTAACTAAAAGGAATGGGATTATCTATTTCCCATGTCCATGTAGGATGGGACAAAAAATAATGGGCTAAAAATGAAGAAAGAATTGAGTTAAATATTAGAAAAAATTCTTTCTAACTCTAAGGGTAGCTAAGTACTGAGCTGGAAACTTTTAAGATTCATTTATGCAAACCACTGAGGCACCGGTATAAGAATGCAATGATTTTCACAGGTCCCTACAAGCCTTATTGTCTATGACTGTGCTCATTTGGAAATGCCTGAGCTATTGAGGTAATAGATATTATCAATACCTTGTAAAAAAAAATTCAAATATTTCATATTCAGATGAAAACGGTGTGTTCCAACATCTGGTTTTGTAATAGCTGCCATAATAAATTTCACCTACCAGTGAAGTGATCACGCATATTTCCCTTTGCCATACAGAGCAGCGTTTTTTCAATATTATTTTCCAAGCCTTCATTTATGGCTGTATCTTCTGAAAAGAGCTCACTTTCTAAAACCTGCAGATGCTTTCATTTTTCTGACAGTTTTGAAGAAACCCCATCGAAACCCATTCAGTTTTAGTATGACAGAAAAAGGTAGAGATCATTGCCTGCTACTTTAAGAAGGAAGTGGATCATTTTCTGAGGATAAATATACTGTAATACTGTACATATATAAATACATACATTTCATATTTACAGTAATATTGTATACTTACATGTGCAATAATACTGCAGCAGGCAGTGAAGAGAAGCATCCTTATATTTTATACTATCTGTGCCATCCCTTGCAAAGGCAAGCCTATCTTTTACAAAGCATTTTACAGCAGATTTTAATGATTGCTACATATAATGAATGGTTGCATATGGCTGGGGGGTAACATTAGCTCGACACACAGGGTGATGTGAGCAGCCCTTTCATGTTTTATGGGTTGCCTGTCATGCTGTTGCTCTTATACAGTTCTTTGAACACAGTATATAAAGTACATATGCCAAAAAGAAGCTATGTAGTCATTCCAAAAGAGCAAGAGGAAGGGCAGGAAGGAAATACTTGCCTGTTAGATATATCAGATGAGAATCACTTCATTAACAGTGTATTCAAAGGCTAAAGGGGAACGATGTTTGCAGCCAGCTATCTGTGAACTCTTGAAAAGCAACACACACAAATGCACCAGCATAAGTGGAGGTGAGGATCCTCTCTGCCAGCACTCTTCGTCTTTCCTCTTGCCCAGTTTCACACAGGTGTGAATCAGTGTCCAAAATAAAATTTTGCTGAGGGTTCTGATTCTGTCCAAAGCTAATCCTGATTTCTATAAGTGCAGAGGAACAATCTAGACATTCTTCTCTTCTAAATCTTGCAGACCTGGTGGTTGTCTATAATTATGTCTAGTATTATGAGATACTCAGAAATGTGAGTATCTCATCTATCTATAAGCATCTATCTATAAGCAGTTAATTTGTTTTATGTTTTACAGTCTGCAGTGGAAGAAAAGGAGCACTAACAACACAAGGGACTTTTTCCTCTATGTGTCTGTATACACAGGTGCTGAGCCATCTCAGGCCATTACAGCTGCTCACACAGTCACCATCACTGCCAGGGGAGCTCGAGGGAGCAAGGGGTGGTGAAATCCCTAGGTACACCTCCCAGACTTGCCTTCCCTGCCCAGGCTGGCTGAACATCATCTCACATCCTTGCCTTTGTCACCAGCTTAGCTGATGCACTTTTTCCAGGAGCTGCAGGTCCCTTCTGCTGTGGCAGCAGTGTGGGATAACACAGATATTGCCCAGCAGCAGTGTCAGCTCCTACCTCTCCCCTCACCACTGCCACTCACTGTGGGTCCCATGCTTCACCCTCCCCATGGCACTACAGCTGCTCCTGAAACTGGACTCGGGAACTCAGCTGGGTTAAAAATAACCTTTTCTTTTGTGGAGTTATTTTTAACTCGGATCAGTTCCCCGATGCGGGTCACCATGTAGCTGCACAAATAGTTGTGCCAAGATTTGCCAGAATGGAAATATTTGCAGAATGGAAAAAGATTGATACAGGAGGGAAGGAGAGAGTTTGATTGTGGGGAGAGACTGCTAAGAGCCTTCTGAGAGCTTTTGAGCAGGCACACTGTGTGTCCTCATCCAGGGTCTCCAGTGAGAACAAGGCCCGTAAGTCTTTGTGCTGCCTGGATGATGGAGACACCTGGACAATATCCATGGTGCAGTGCTTTGTGTTGCTGTTGTGGCTTGGGAAAGCTGCATGGCAGGACCTTTAAGGCCATCAGGAATTTGGGCAAAGTACCTTCGTCACCACCTTTATCAGCTGCTTTGCCCATGTGGTACATATGGGCTTCATAAAGAGCTGGTCCTATCCCAGTTTACAGCACAATTTTGTGAACTTTACAGAGCGTATGTATAACTGATATCCTCTACAGTATCAAATATCAAATGTTGGAAGCTGCAACTCGAGTTTAAATGTGTAAGGTAACAGTTTGGATTAGGTGAAAATGGAATGGCCCCACAGGTGGGTTAGGTATGAGCTGAGCACAGGAGAGCTTGCTCTTCAATTCCCCAGGCTGAAACAAGGCTGCCATGAGTAGGTGCCTGTGCAGTCCAGAGCAGGGCATGTGAACTAGCCCACGTGGCAAGTGGAATATTCTGAGACTGCGCCAGCAGTAAATATGAACCAGGAAGTAGCATGCAAAGTAAATGAGGGAGACAGAAAGAAAAATCAGCTGCTTGTGCACGTGTGGGGGCTGGTAGATGTAAGTCAGACCATCCAGGATCGGTACAGCAGCAGGGAATTTCTGCCCAGGAGGGGTCAGTCCAAGGCATAGAGGCAACACGAGTGACCATTCCCAGATCAGCCTTCCACAAATCCCCAGAGGTCAGGGTGCTGCTGGGAGATAGAAGCCACAGTTCTGACAGAAAAAATACTTCAAGTCACGCAAGTAAACTGGAATAAGCAGTTGCCAAGATATCCAGTTTTTACACTTTGACTGGAATTGTATTTCACACATTCCCTACCTGCAACCTTTTGTTTCTGAGCTCATAACTACAACTCCTGCTGTAATTCTTGCAGAATAAACTATTTTCTTCTTCAACCTTCTTCTTCACCAAGTTGTTTGGTGTTGCAAAATGAGACAAAATAAAGATGCTGCTACAGAAGTACCAGAGTCAAATAAAGTGAGATAGCATCACCCCAAGAGGACTTCTTCTTAAGGTATGTTCAGGGCCAGGCACTTCCTACCACATGCTATGTTTTGGAAAGAAGTTCTTGCTGCCAAGTATGTCCTTTACTCCACCCCATTTCTTTCTACTGCAGAAAAATGAAATACCAAACATAACTGCAGGCAAATCCCCAAACTTCCAATAAGCAAACTCTGAAATATGTGATCTTAACAGAAACTGGAAATCAGAATGGTATTTGAGTGAGGTCATATTGGAAATTTGTCTTCTTGGAAGTGGTTCTGTGGCAGTGTTGTAAAATAAACTTTGTGAGCTCCCCACCTTTCTGAAAGGTGGCTAGCTAGGACGCAGTAAAGAGATGCATTCTTCATTGATTGCAAATTTTGAAGTAAAGTTTTAAAAGTTTAAATTGTGTTGCCAGGTGCTCATAAGGAAAAGCCATCTGAAGATTTAAATAGGATTTAGGTGTGTGGATTAAATAGAATTTAGAAAGTGTGCTTCAGACAGGTCTGGGAAGCCCATGGTAAAGCATGTCTCAAAATGCCACTGCTCAAGGGTACCAGAATGAGCCTTCAGCAAGGTCAGCTGTGTTCCTGACTTCTGTAGCTCCAGAAGCCACTCCAGCATATCAGGACACTGTGATCAGCGCAGTGGGGACCATATTGCTAATCTTCCCATTTTGCAGAATACATGTGTTCTGTGGAGTGTTTTTTGCTCTGAATCAGGATGTTTGGGAGTTCAGATCAAATGTCTTACTGAGAGAGTCAGCCAGCTAATCTCCATGCCAGGAAATGAAGCCATCTGATGTCCTGAGGTGAAGCTATAGGAGGCTGTATGAGTCCAGAACAATTTGAAATCTGTTTTATAAATAAATCCTCATTGGTTTGGAGTGTCTATTTTCTACCACAATCAGTATTACCTTCTTTTTATTTCCAGGCCTTATCAAGGGGACAAATGCAGAGTCTGCTGTTTACAGGTATGATTTTACAGATTTTACAGATTTGTAAGCTGTTTGCAAAATGCTGTTTGCAAAAAATCTGAATGCTGTCTGAAAGAGAGAGGGTAACACTTTGTACTGGCAAGCTGTAATTTGCTATTCTGCCTCTGAATCTTGTGCATTGCAATACTGCAAATAAAGGTCCTGGAGACAGAGAGAGACATGTACTGTTTGTTTGGCTCTATTGGCAGTGACATTAACCTCAAACAAATGAAAAGTTTCAGCTAAAGAAGTCTTTCAAAATTTTATTTGTGTCATCAGCACAATAGGTCCCTGTCCTCCAATCATTTGGACAATGTGGGAAGTCCAAATGTAAAAATCCTCTTTATTTTGATGATGTTCTGAAAAGACTATCCCCATAAGATGAGTATAGAACTTGCTGGCATAGACAGCCTGGGCTTCCTAGTCACTGTCCAAGGGATTTTGATTCCCCCACTGACTACAGAAGGCCCCAGATCTTAGTGTGAAGACATACAGAATTATTAGATCCAAATGATTGCTTCTGGTGCCAAAATGGGAAGATCCATTTTCCTCTTCTCAGTTCTGCTGCTGGCTGCAGTTCCCTTGCCCACTTACCTTTGTGCCAGCATCTAGCAGGATCAGCCCTAGATCTCAGCTCAAGAGCCCAGGGGAGAATTAAAGCCATCAGAAAACTGTGCATGGGTGTCTGCCAACTTTGTGAGCTGATCTGGTCCAGCCCAGTGGGTTTCAGAGTAAGTCCTGTGACATTACACCATGATATAGATGTATAAGAGCACTAAGGTCATAGGAAGCTTGAAAAACTTTGGAAGCATTTGGACAATTCAAAGTAGCAGGATGTAGTTCACCCCCATCATGTGTAGCTGCGCAGAATCCAATAGGGAATTTTTGTGCTAAGAAGCCAATTGCTCAGGGTAAAGATGCCAAGGAAAGATGCTGAATTCCCAAGCCATGGTTTGTAGAAGGCTCTGCATGCATGACTTGCACTGGCACAGAGACCAAAAGAGCTAAATTTGTTCAAAGCAGAGCACAGAGCACGGACTTCTGGTGATATCAGAATCCTGACTCAGCAGTTAAGAGGTGCATCTAAGGGCCAAGGCAACAGCAAAGGTTTTGCTGAGCGGGCAGTCCCCACTACCCACCCTGCAGGCTGAGGGAAGAGGCATCGCTGCAATGAGGGGCACTGACAGCAAGGTCAGGTCATCTCTGCATCCCTCCACACACAGCTCATGGGGTTGTGTTCAAAGACTGCATGAGTGACAGCAGCACCATTTTGGGGTCTCAACCACCTTTATCCGGAGAAATTGGGAGGATTTATAGACTATGCACTAAAAGGCCTGGAAAGGAAGACCTCTGTCTTTTTTGTCTTTGAAGTTTACACTCTTTCTTCCCCTTATCACTACAAGTCTCACCAGAGCAGAGAATGAATTCCACCATCAAAACATTAGACAGCTGTGTAAAATAAGAAGTATTTTTCCAAAGAGGAAGCTCAAATGTTTCTGCCCAAGGCAATTTGGGATCAAAAGAAGGACACATTGATTTCTCAAATAAAAGCATTTTCAAATGAGAGTCCCTTACTCTTTGGAGTTTTTCAGAAAATGATTTGCAGATGGCACATCTCTCCCCGGTGTGACTTTTTCCAGACACATGGAGCATTTAGCACATCCGCAGTTTGCAGGCAGCACAGCTCGAACATTTATGTGCCGACTTAGTAAATGAACATATCACTGTGAGTGCCTCCTAGGTAAATAACAGAAGTTTCCTTATGAAATGATCAAAGGAAATGCTAACAAAACCCTTCCAAAGCACAATACAAAGTACCCGTTTATCAGCAATTATTTGCACAAGAAGGTCCCGCAGAGCCCAGGGAGGGACACGGTGCCAGCTGTGACGCATGGCCGCGTGCACCTGGAGCTGAGGGCAAGGAGAGGAGCCCAGCCTCTGGACACAAACCTGCAGGAATGGTACTGGTGGTGTTCTGGGAATGCAGCTCCATGCAAAAGTCTTTTTCAAGTGCACCGGTCCATATAGATCAATAGCAAAATGTGGAGAATTGGCAAAATATTCAAAGAAGCACGCCTTTAAAAAGCACAGGCAAAATCTTTACATCCAAAGTACAGCTTCCAGATGTTTACCAGAACACCTAGAAATTATTACTAGGTGAAAATCATATTTCTTCACTTGGCTCCATGTGCTGCCTTTGTCAGCTGTGTTCTCACCAAGAATTATGTTCATAACCTCTGCTCAGTTTAACCAGTGAAAGATACGCATGTGAAAAGATGACATACATAATTCTTGAAGTTAACCATGACCAAATCCTCTCAAGTGTAAAGCTGAGTTTGTTTTAATAAGAATTGTTAAATGATAATGTTGTCTCAAAGACACATTTTTCGCTTAAAAAATTACTTACGAAAAGGCGCTCTAAAATTTTTTATTATTTGTGCATGTCTATTAAATGGATACCAATAACACACACAGACACACACACACATGGAGTGCTTGGAGGAGTTCTGTAAATGACTGTGACATAAGGAGACATTTAGCAGCAGGAGGTTGAAGATGGCATATCTTGAAAAGTGTCTCTTCACATTTTGGGATGCTGGTTCAGTACTAATGCAACAGGAGGTGAGGTGCCTGCTGAACCAGCAGCAAGACCTTCTCAGCAAGAAACTTGGGGTTTCACTGGGGAACTTCCAGTGTTTGTGTTAACTTTCTGCTGTGCATTTCTCAGAAACAAGGTCGCAGTCTCAAGGGCATCATGACATTTGTGTGTATGCTCCAGCAAGAACATATGCCGGTGCTTTTGGGAAAGGATGTGTTTTTCATTTCAGTGTGAAAGCCCTTATCAATGTGCCAGCATGTGGGGAGCTTCAGGAGACTGGCAGGAGAATTATATAGAAAAACTTACACCACAGCCTCTCAAGAAGGGAAATCTATGACAGGTGGGTTAGGTACAAATATCTGAACAGTGCATCACAAAATGATTAAGAAAACCCTAGCAGTGCTGTCTCAGCACATGGAATTAGTAGGGACAGAATTAAAAGCCCACTACTGTTAGCAGTAAAGTGCCAACTGGGTTTGTAAATTCTGAATCAGGATGACTTTTGGAATGAAAGAGGGGTTGTAACTGGATAAGCCAGAAAAAGAAATGTGTTCGCAGAAAATTCTTTTCAGCATCAGTAATGAATTTGTTGACAGATATTATGTAGAACCAGATACAGGCACTGCCTGTACATGAATGATTTAACCAAAAATTACAACATACACCCTTTCAGAAGATTATATGACAAAAATAAGCATATCAGTAAGAATGTTTCTGAGCTCCACAATTTATCATGTTTCAAAGGAGTCTTAAACTAAGAAAATTTACAGCTGAAAATTTCATGGTTGTGCTCTCATAGGCTTAGTATTAACCAAGAGTAACATAAGCTGTGTTATATCTGAAAAAAAAGCTTTAAGTAGAAAGTAAAATAATTATCAGGCTAGTTTCTCTACCATGTAAGGCAGTTGCAAAGATTTATAAACCAATCCTGCAGGCTGGTTTCTTTTAAATTTAAATGACAGCTACCAATGGAAGGGAAGTGTTTCAACAAAAGAGAAAGTAATTTGAGATTATATTTGAAAAAACAATTTGAAGTTTACAGAAAGAAGTAACTTTGAAAAATGACCTGGGGGTTGTAACTGCACACGATTGTTCTTATAGGAGCTTACAGTTGGGAAGTGTCTGGCCTAACCTGTTTCTCCTGAATGCAAATTCTTCACTGACACCTGGAACAGCGTTGTACCACCTCTGTGCTGGAAGGGGATGGGCAGCAGCGCCTCAGAGCTGGCTTTGCACCCTGAAGGAACAGGAATCTGGCAATTGTGTCAGCAAAGATAAAACCTCTGAGTGGTCAAGTGCCCCTTCCGTATCCAAGGCAGAGAGAAAAGTGCCGAGGTCAGGAAAACCAGAAATTGTCGTTTCAGCACTGAAGTAACTCTACATCTGGGGAAATGGGCTGGTCTCTTGTCAATCTCGTCTAATTCTGCTGGGTTTGCTACTTCTGTGGACAAAGTACAGTGAAAGGACAGGAAAGAGGAAGACAACATATCACTTTACCTTTTTTCTTCTGTTGTTTGTTTAATCTTTTCTTATTTAACAGGTGAAGTACATAAAGCTGGTCCTTCTTGCTCCACTTTGAACAATCTTCTATTTCGTCTGACAGGCACCTGGTTTCAGAAGAGTTTCTTCTTCCAATCCTACTCTTGAGATGGGTATAAGTGCACATGCACAGTGTTACACTCCCAGTGTTTGCTTTGGAGAGTCAGTTCTGAAACGAAGAACATCTTTGGACCTGCCTTTCTGATCTCTGTGTGAATCACTGAACACTCCCCAATAAAGGTATATTTGTCTGTCATTGCAAATGCAAACACCACAGTTCAGGGACTCCTTGTTAGAAAGCCTATAGCCTCAGGGGATGTTAAGTTTACCATAATAAGTAAGATTTTTGCCCGACAATGCTGAAGTTAATTTTAACCACTTGCTGTTTCCATAAAGCTACAGTTTACGTTCTAAATCATGGGCTCTGTCTCAGCAGTCTCAATGAAAATCAAGAAGTGTTTTATTTCTATAGTTGAAGTAAAATTTACCACAATAGAATTCCATACTGCAACTTTGTAGCCTATTATCATCTTTCTTACTCAGAGTGAAGTTAGACATTCCCAGCCTATATTTATGATCAAGGATGCTTCAGAATAATGTATATAAATTGAGTTTTATTGATCATTGAACATCTGCTGGCACTTAAGTATGTGAAAACCTAAGTACGAACAAAAGCTTTGCAAGTTTGCATTTTTTGAAGCTTATAAAATTATAATTTATAATCAAGTACACTATGTTATGTTTTCTTTATCACCTTCATAAAGATAAAGTAATGTAAGCAGGGGCTTGGATTACAAGACCATTACAAGATTGCAAAGACTCGGGGTTTTGTGATTTATGGAAGAAAAATTCCATTATTTTTCCCTTAAATCTGACACAATTTAATAGCATTTTGCCTGCTGTGGTAGAGGGTCTATGCCAAACTATGATTACTGCAAACAGAATTGGAAGTGCTATAAAATATTTTTTTTTAATTTTGCATCCATTGCCAAAGGTGGTGAGCAAATGTCTTTGTCCAACTTCCTGATCATACCGTTTTCACCCATCCTTTCCAACACTGACTAATACAGAACACGTGCCAGTGCTGATGCAGACCTTTCTGAAAGTGTGTGCACGTCACACACAGCTCCTGTAGATGCTCAGATCATTCCATGTAAGTATGGCTTGAGCCAGGAGTCAGGAAGGGGGAAAATGTAGTACTGGAGAGAAACAAAACAAAGGGGCATGCAGCCCTTACAGGTGTGGGTTCAAGAACAGCCTCTGCACATCAGGTGTGTGTTGGGAAATTACCCTCTTTGATGAAAATGTGGGTGATAGGAGCTGAAAGCAGCTCAGAAGAAAGAGCCTTTGTCTCATTTCCCAGAGTTACCAAGCCTGTTTCATGTGGCCCAACCTTTCCTCTTTATTTCCAAAGTCAAACGTGAGCTAAACCAAACATGCCAGCAGCATGTCCAGGCATGGAAGCAGTGAAGTTGGCCGCTCTTGAGTTCACAGACCTGCTGTTCTCCTTGCCTATGTCTGACCAGCTCCAGGTTTTAGCAAGAGGAGCTGAACCCAAGTTTTGCTGAACCCAAGTTTTGCTGGATAAGCATTACCTAGAAATTCAGAGCATGCTGCAAGTGGTGACTGTAAAAGAATATCACAGTTTCATAGAGGTTTTGAGGTTACCTGAAATGAAGAAAGAACATATTTATGTTCAAGAGAGATTTTTTTTAAGAAATGGTGGCCTATAATGAGTATCACACTTAGCTAGCTAAACCAGATTTTGAAACACTTGGATAAGGTGATCTTTCACAGCTAATAATTGAAAATCATCCATCCTTAAATCTTAGAATGTAAAATAACTGTGGAAACCTACTACATGCTGTTGCCCATTTTTTAATGAGAAAATCACCCTTTAATTGTCATTGTGACAATGCCAAGAAATTCCCAGGATAGAACATCTCTCTTTCCTGCCCCAACACATGTCCAGTGCCTAATCACTACTGCTCAGGGAGTAAATGCTGCAGATCTAAACACAACAGACCAAGGCAAGGAGGTTAAACACAGCATCTTGACTCCTGTCCAGCCAAGGTTAGGGATTGTGCCACTGAGAGGCCTCACTAGAGGCAGCCAATAAAACCTCTAGTAATAAAATTGCACAGACTGAATGTTACTTTTTTGCTCCTTTCTTAGACCCTGGAGTGTGATGGGATATGAAATTGCTGCCAGTAACTGTTTGTGCTGTGTTTGGTTTTTTTCCATGCAGAGTTGTAGAGGAGGATCTGCTCACTGCTTTATCTCCATGGGACTCCTCAGGCCTGATGGATGTGGAACATCTTTGTGAAGCTTTGAAAAATCACGAAGGTGCGACAGCACTTGATGCAGAGCAGGTTGATTGTGGCTGTCCCTGCCCTCTCTTCTTTCCCTCGACTCCTTAACAGAAACATCACAACTTACACCAAAATATACATAGTGTGATACATAGTGCCCTCTGAGTTGCTTGCTGAAAAATTGCTACTGAAGTAGTTTTGAGGATCCATGTATCATGGAACCATGGTACCATGCCTTTTTTTTTTTTATTTATGTAGTCCTGGTAATGAACTGCAATCCTCAGTGTCTCAATGTCCTCTCTCACCTCTATTTTCATAAATGTTTCCCAGTACCTGTTCTATCCTGTAACACCAAAAAAAAAAAAAAAAAAAAAAAAAAAAAAAAAGAAGTATGCTATATACTTTCCAGAGAAATACAAGAACAAGATCTCAAGAGCTCCCAAGATAAACACATTCCCTGAATTCCATACATTCACCACATAGTTTTTATTAGGCCAAAAATTTTTTTACGAGATTTTGTGTGGTTCTGAGCTGAGATACATTTTCTATCCCTATAGAAACATCTTTGCTTACTTGATCATATTTTGCACTTCTATGGAAAAACAAATTTAAAAAAGCACTTTTTCTCTAGTTTTCATGTACAAGGAACAATTGCTACCAAAAATAGACCTTTAAAGCATAAACTGTTTCAGAAATAAATACCACTTGATGTTAATAAAATGCATTCCTCTGGCTGTGACTACTAAGAATCTAAGAATTCCATTCGATGCAGGAGTTCATATTTTAAATAATTCTGACTTCCCTTAAGGTGACCAAATGTATATCAGAATCTACTGTAATGTCCTAAATCTGATCCTGTTTTATGCTATGCACTCAAACTCCCCATTTTCTTCAAATAAAAAGATGGGAAAAAATGCTAAGCTGCAGTTTGATAAGTAAAGTTTCATCAGAAAAATCTTGTTGATGAAATTGAATTAATTGTAGAAGTTTCCATTTCCCATGAACACAGCAAACAGTATTTGGTTTACGATGCCAATTAATAAAGCTGAGCAAGCAATTACACACAAATCTTCTGCTTTTCGTGGTTGTGTAACAGCTGCACTTAGTTTGAAATTTCACCAGATATATTAATTACCCAAACATAGTTAACATTTTTTGTTCATGAGGGTAGCAACTTGAGTGTTTGTTTCTTAATCAATTAGAATGCTCAGTTTTTGGTTGTGCATGTGTGTGTCACACACACAATTCATTCAAAATTGATTTTGCCCGTGATTACAAGGGTCTTGTAACACTGGCTCTGCTCCCTGTTTGGCTGATCCTACCTCATCCATCAGGAGAATAGCCTGAAGATACTATCTATCAATCCAGTAGGTTGCGAAGTAGAAACAAATAATACATAATCATAGATTTCATAAAATATCATATTGTTTTCCTCTTTCTCTGCACCCCACAGACTTTTGCAAACCATCGCTCTTAGACCAGAAAATGGTAAGATATATTGGCTAGGAGGGGACTTTAATTCAATTCCTACTCATTGCATTCACACAAAATAATTGAATGCACATGCAGCATCTGGTTTTGAGGGATCCAGTCAGGCCTTTATCTGATTCACCTAAAGGTCTCCTTGATAGTGAATTGGCAAGGAATTTCAAAAGCCTTTTTGCTACCTCACACCAAACAGTTTTCCACTCAGAGAGAGAGGCAGAGCTAAGGTTGTTCGTGGAATACATAGCGTGATACTTTGGGCACCTTTAAAAGGTCTGGAAGAGCTGAGGCCAATAACATACGGATTTTTAACATGCATTTGCAAATTTAAGGTTTTTTATCAGCTGCATTATCACGGGGCATATGGGAGACTCCACCATATGTTTAGTAGAAAGCAGAATGTAAAGAACTGCTGCTTTGCATTTGGCTGCTTTTGTTCTTTGAAAGGCAGGGGTAGTGCAGAGCCTGCCAAAGTGTCTCCAGCTGTGGCAGTGGCAGCAGCCCGGCAGGGCAGCGCTGAGGAGTGTAAAACCCCGGCCGTCTGCCTGGCTCCATCCCTCAGCTGCACAGCCGCGCAGAGCCCACGGCTTCCTCTCAGGATTAGCCAGACCCACACATTTGGGGATCTTCTTACAAATAATTATTGCCATAGTAACCTTGCACTCTGTGACCGTAGCAATAACAGTTGTAATTCATCATGTCCAGTTCCTCCTTCTCCCCTTTTCTTGACCTCGTCTCGCTAAGGCATGAGAATCCTATGGGGAATGGCAGTCCAGGCCAAGGGAATCCTCCCCAGTGTCCGAGGGCTGGAGCTAAAAATCAAACACAGTAGCCTTGACTACACAGCTCCACATCTGGAGCCCCTGGTATGTGGTCTCAGAGGAGGGGCCTTGCTGGCTTGCCTGGAGCTCCAGGTGACGCTGCCTCACCGCTCCCCTGCAGGAGGAGGAATGGCTCTCTCTGCTAAGCGTGCCATTAACTGGGAACACACGCTCCCCTTTATCTGAACCATATGGATGCATTTCATATTCTTATTATTTTTCACAGGGCTGAGACCACCATAAGTGCTTGCTCTGCATCTTTGCGTGTTTCAGTTTCCTGAAGCAATTTTGTCTTATGTTTCAGTTAAGTACAGGCTCCACCAAACACAGTATTAATTACAGACGTGGGTTGCCTTATGCGGTATGATGTGTTCCCTTTGCAGATTCACTTAAATATCTGTTGTGAAACAGTCACACAGATACTGGCATTTTATCTATAAACTGCCTGAAATAGAAGCCTTTATAATCAAACATTGATTAAAGCTTAAATTCTGTGATGAAAATGCTCAGTTTTAGGAACAATGTTTTCCACACCCAGTGGGTGCTCCATTATACACTATAGACTTGTTCATTTCATTGGGAGTACTCACAAGCTTGCACCAAAGTATTTTGCTACGTCACAGTAAGCACGTAACTTCTTGAAGAGCTATGGTAGGTGGTAAAATCCCAGTGTCAAGGGTCCATCTTTATGTTTGTGGAGTAGCCTTCTGAGTCCAACCAACAACAGTGACATTTGGTTTGACACTACCAGCTCACTGGTGCAGAAATCTTGGAATCCTTGAAAATTTCTTATTTTAAGCAAGTTCACCTTCCTGTTGGCCTTAAACAAATAATACACAGATGAAAGGGTGTGCTGTTTGTTACTCGTTCATTTATTGCAATGTTTCAATTGTTTTCAATAGTGGTCTGTATAACTTTTCCAATATCTGTGCTCATCTGAATTGGGAAAGTGATGGAAGGGTGACAATGCAGAATAAACTCATCATAAGAGTAGTAAACAAACTCAAAAGCATAATGTTACTTTCAGGGGCGCCTAAGACCTTTCCTTTTTTCCAGTCTGCCACAATTACTCACTGATAATTAAGACAGAGTGTGTGTCAGTTGTTAATAATATTATTAACCAGTAATTCTTGGACAGACAGTGAAGATGTAAGCTGGTGAAGAGTTGAGTTGAGGGAGGACTAGAGGCAGTGCAATTCAGACTCCTGATCACTTTTCCCCATGCTAGGTCAGGTACATTGCACAGTGACTGCTCTCATCTGATTGATTTTTTTTCCTCTGGTGGAATTAATGATACAAGATGTGAAGAAATAAAGAATTTGGCCAAGAGACTTTTAAAAACCTGTCAGTCTAAAGCAATATGGGAGTCATCCTGTACTGTGACATCTTCACAGACCACTCTACTCTGACTCAGAGCTGCTGTCACAAATGCTGTCTGTAACAAAATAGATGTTTATCGTTGATACACATTTTAAAGCAATCCCAGATTATTGTTCACTTACTAGAATTAGATTATTGTCACTAGGTTACAGTGCTGTGAGTGTCTCTGATGCAGAACAGCAAGCAAAATCTATGGAGCTGCCTCCCTCAAGTGCCTAAAATAAGTACCAAGTGTGAAGGTTTCTGAGATGTTCAGTGGAGATGGGAGGTGAAACGACACATTTAAACTAGGGTCCTGCCCTTGGTCATCTTGATGGACAATTAAATCCATCAATTAAACAGTGACTAGCCTTTTTACATCAGTGCCTTCATATGCACATCCTGTACTGCTCTGTCCAAAACAAGAATGGGTGTGGATAGAGTTGAACATCAAAGTGGGAGCTGGCTTCTGCCAAGGTGGATTTTAGACTTAAAAGAGTGATCTAGACCCTGATTTAATGATGCTCCTCTCCACTGGTACAATAATTGGCATTACAAAGCTGATGCCCTGCTCTGACCACTCTTACACCAAGAAGAAAAGCAAGCCAGAATCTCCATGAATGCCAGGCACTACTAAAGTTGACCAGGTACCTGCAGTACCCAGCTCTGCCAAGCATAGGAATTGTGCCTAAAAGGCAGCAGGAAACCCCACTGTGATAAAACAGCAGCAATGAGCAAGCTGCCTGCTGCCTGGACTCAGGCTGTGCCAGCTTCTTCCCTCACCCACCTCTCACACCCCCTTCTTCCAAGGGACCCTCTTAGCCTCAGCAACCCCCTGCCAGTGATGGCCATGCTGAGGGGGAGTGTTTTCCAGGAGCTGCGTTTTTAGGTATATTTTTAAGAATTGTTTTGTTTTTTAAAGAGAATTGTAATAAAGGAACATAAACAAGAGCTGGGTTGTGCCTCTTGCCTCACAGCACTACAGGGCCCCCCTGAACAAGCCAGAGGGAGCAGCATGGTGAGAAGGGAAGTGTCAGTGACTGAAAATGGGTCGTGGATGTCACACTCCAAGTGGATGTCACACTTCCATTGTTTCAAAGACAGGCAAGCCATCTGCAGGTGTGTCCCCACTAGAGATCACATACCCACCTCGTTTCCTTCTCCTGTGCCCCAGCTGAAGAGCAAGAGAACACATTCTTAATGAAAACCTGTGGCCAAAATCCTCCAGACTCCTTTGGAAGTCCCCTCATTTTAAGCAAGTCTGCTATGCTCATCAAGGTGCTGGCCTAGAGGACAGTGGCTGAGTGAGGTGACACACATTGGCACAGCAGCAGGCAAATCTCAGAGGTGACTCTGGGCTGCAGGGACAGAATACAGATGCAGAACACTCTGTCTGGTGTCCTTCTGCTCCATATAGGAGGTGTTATAGCAGATCTAGGCAGGGTTTTCCCACTGGCAGCCTTTTACAGTGCAGGTTTTTTTACTCAGGCAGCTGGCTTACTGACTCTTCTGCTGCCAGGCAAACACCTGTTTTTGTGAGGGCAAACTCCAGGAAAGCCAGGAGAATTACCTCATAATACAAGAGGGTAAAAAAACCCAACATAACCGCTGTTTGTCTATTTTACCTGGTGCAACTTTGGTCACTGTAAGGTACATTAAGTGAGAACCACAAAAATAGACGCCAAAAA